TCTTTTTAGACGTTTATGTATAGAATTACAGGCAGCTGTGTACCTTTCGGTTTAGAGGACTGGGCTACATTTTTGACAGTTTTTACTGCTACACCAATACAGTCGTATTACTTATACTCTCTTGGATGTGTCCAAAGACCTGAGAATAGGATAGATTGTATACTTTTGTATCCACTCATCTCTAACAGGAAGTTTTTAGTGATATCTGTGGACAGAGTAGCTCAAGCATACTTACAAGCTTTAATCTACAAGATAGACTCCACAGTATCACTTTAGTCTGCCCTACTTATTTATACCGACGGAGTTCTTCCCTGTGTGTGCTTCTTAGAGGTGATGGTTTTTTTAGGTTTCCTTTTTTCTCTTCTTTGGGGAACATATACCCTACAATAAAGGTTTTCAATTTAATATTAGTGCACACCCATAGATCCTTTTTCTCTTTTGGTATTCCCAAGCTTACTTTGCAAGTGATTACCTCCAGTCTCATTCCTGGATATTGCCATCAAAATGTAGGGATGGTGATAAGGAGATGCTGGGAGTCCTATTAACAGTGGGTGGAGGTACACAGGTTTGAGGTGCTATAGGAGGAGACGCTGCAGGCTGCAAATGCGCCGTATTAGCGAGAAGCGTACTGAAAGCCTGAGCGAACTGATCCATGCAGTGATCATTCTCCTCTAATTTCCTCTCGCAAGCAGCTATGTGCTGACACAGTTCTACAGGATCTATGTCCATGTCGTAATATCAGGATTACTGTATGATCCAGCATGTAGAATTGTATAGCCTGAATGACAAATAAGTAACTTATTACCGGTCCTTAGAATGGCCGGATTTAACGTACATAGAATAGTCAAAATACTAGCCGAGGTCAGGGAACACAGAAAGGGACGCAACGATGAGCAAAGGATACCAGAATACAGAGAAGTCAATAAGCAAAGCCAAAGTAAAAAACCAACAGAAAACTATAAACAGGAACGCGCTCTCGGACAACCACATGGGAAACCACGACAGGGCACTGAGTGGAGGTCAGACTAGGTTTTTATATCCATCCTCCCTTTCCCATTGGTCAGCCCGGTATTTTGGCTCCAAAATGTGCATGTGCGGTGCGTGCGCGCGTTAAAGTGCGCGCATGCACCCGCGGTCACGTGCGGCGTGCACTCGCGGTCACGTGCATGCTGGGTTATTTCTGCCCGTGAATGTGCAATGGCCGGTGCCAGACTGTATGCTGAGACAATATAAAATAGCAAAAAAAAAGTGGAAAACACCCAGAATACGTATGAGTTAATATATGGATTGTAAAACAACCTGATATAGGATGTGGTCCATTTATGAATTCTGTGTAAGAATCAAAATGCTGACATAGCGTGATACAGTAAAAAAGGAATAAATGTATAAATATAAGTGATTGTAGATACACTCACAAACGCACGTGAAATAAGGCTTTTCAACCTCTCAGGGGTAATATGTAGTACGATGAATAGACTGGAAAATCACCTCATAGGATATATGCAAATAAAGGAAATCGAAGATAGTGAAGTTTGTTATAAAAATACAAAATCACATTTATTGGTCACACTTACATGTGTGTATATCACAAAGAGCGTATCTCCCAATAACCTGGAACTCCATACAGTGTGGTCATCAGTCCAAAATAGGATCTAACAGGAGCGGTTATGAGTAAACAGCCAGAATGCAAATAAATAAAAAGTTAAAAAGCAAAGTAAAATAACAATAAAGAATATAAGTCCATATAGAAAGAATCCAAGTGTTTCGTCCTGTAGGGGTATAGGACTTCTTCAGGGATGTTTCTATACTCCTTTTCTATGGTTTAAATACTGCTGCAAATCTTCGTTTGATTTCGTCCATCTGTTTTGCGGCGTGCGTTCCATCCGTGGACTGCAAGCTTCCGGCCGCTGAGCACCAGGTGAGGGAAAAGTGTCAGATGGATAAGTGACAAAAGGAAATGAAGACCAGGCAGGACAGAGGTAATTTCATTTTCAGCACTGTTAAGCCTTGCAGTAGTTCCAGGCGCCATCTGCTGGACAGTCCTAGGAACAGCAGCCAGATGCTGTGAGAAGAGCAGTGAAGATGAGGTAAGCTCACACCCCACCAAGGAGGGACATAGGGACCAGAGACAGACACAGGGGGGAGAGGAGGAGGGGGGGAGAGGAGGGAGGGAGACAGAGAGAGAAACGGTAGCAGAGAGAGGGAGGGGACCCAGGACAGAAGGGACTAGGAGGAAGAAGGGACCACAGAGGGAGAGGGGGGGCAATAATGGAGGAAAACACAGGGGGGAGAGGGGAACTGTGGACTGAAACCATGGGAGGAGAGGGGGACCCCCCCCCCCGCGGCCGACCCTCATCCCCAAACGGCAGCACAATTGTGTCCCACTCACCACCACCAGCCCGGCTCTGGATCCGCCGACAACATGGGGGCTGGGAAGGCCTCCCAGACACCCCAGGCTGCACAGTAGATATTCTGGCGTCCCCAGCCCACTGGCCAATGCCGGGGGGCACACGGGAGATAGCAGAGGAAGCAGGCCGCGTGTCAGATGGAGCTGACACGCGGGCCTGATGATGCCTTGGGCCCGGGCTCCTATACTAGGCCCGAGGTGAGGCATCAGAGCTGTAGCCACGATGGAGGCCTCAGCAGAGGCCTGACTGCGGGGAGGAGGGGGGGGAAAGGGAGGAAAGTCCCAGGACAAATAGGAGCGCAGAGGCAGGGAAGTTGTTTGCTGGCCAGAATCCCAAAAGGCACTGAGGTAAGATGAACCACTCCCCTACACACATACAGCCAATCACCAGCACCATTCCCACACTCATACATGTGCCCTTGTCCATTTAGCTGTGCTTACTCCCCAGGGCCTGGACCAGTATATCTTTTTATATCATGATATAATAAAATGTAATTATTTTAGAATGTATTAAACAACATTGTTACTTAAAACATAAAAGCCAATAGTTTACAAATTGTAATGCATGTTAATTTCTTGCAGTTTAACAAGGTCATTTTTTTCAATAACAGTTTAATAAATCTACAAGCAAAAATGAAAATATTACCACGTCAGTTGAATTGGATTTTTTAAAGTTGCTTGTTTATTAAGTAAAGCAAGGCAAACAAGCACATTATATAACATGATGAAACATATATTACAAATCTGGTAGCAAGAAAGACATCATAAAATAGCTTAAAAATGCACACCAAAATTATGTTTCGTTTGTAAGAAAAAAACATTCAGGCTTGGAGGGCAGAACGAGCAAATCCTATGTAAATCTAACAAGATTATCATTATTATCAATAACAAGTTAATCGAGTAATGCAAAGTTGACCACTGAAAACAAAGCACTTCACACAGGCTCAGTTGAGGGAAGAATCATCCAAAATTGTTTCCCAGTGATCTGGGATTATATAGGCCCAAAGAGCTGAAATTCTCCTCGCACAGTCTCGCAATTTTATTCGAGCTACCACAGGATCATGCCATAGGAGATTTAATTGACTGAATCACCTCTACTTTATCAAGCCATTGTCTTAAACGGAATAGGGGGGTTCAGCAAAGAGTAAAAGGGCTTTTAGCAGCATCAACCAAACTTTTTAATAAAAAATTCCCGTTGCCCCCCCCCAGATCTACCACTGACTATATATAGTGTACTGTTTATTTAAGTCTACAGTGCAATGTTCAGTGGAAATGCACATTCAATAAAGCGTGGCTAGAGCTGCATGGACAGAAACAAAAATGATTTAACTCAAATAGCAGAGAATTGAGCAGTGAAACTTCAGAGGCATAATCTATACAAACACAACAGCTTTGTTAAGCTACAGTTATTTGTGGTTTTTTTTTACTCTAGTGTCCCCTTAAATATGTATAGAGATTTGGGCTAGTGCATAGGTTCTTTTTTTTTTTTTTTTTTACTTTTTTACTATGCTGGGCTAATATAATAAAAATACTAAATCAGTTCTGCTGCCTAAGAGTAGTGAGAGTTTGAGCGCATTGGCTTAATTCTGTGTGCTTGTAATATATTTATATCTGTCTGAAGTTTTAATGTTTACCTTGTAGATTTTATTTAATTCATTGTTTTTTGTCTCTAATTTCAATTATATAATTAGGTCTAAATATACATTATGATTTACATAAACCCATTGTTGCTGAGTTACAGTACACACATGCATTGCAAAAATCCACAAAGATCTCCTGCTGAAGATATTTCATTTTGTCCAACATTACTAGGTTAATTTAGGTTTATATCTACTAATTAGACTTGGAGATTTATTTTCGAACCACCATAAGCCAAGATCTCATAACAGACATATATGCAAAGCCGAACACAATTGAATAAGCATTGTAGTTTCCCTTGATGGACAAGAGGTCTGACGAATTATGTGGGCTCTATTTCCTGTGCAATTAAGATTAATGGTTAGGGAACAGTCACTAAATGTTGATTTTATTTTTTTCATATCTGATTTTTATTTTCAATTTTTTTATAAATACAAAATAATAGACAAAACAATACAACATAAAACATAGTTATGTGTATATGTATATATAAAAGTGTTATGTCATCTTTTTCATAGTTTGATTTAACATATCGTATTTGAGAGTTAAATATTACATCACACAACCAACATACAAGACAACATTTAAATGTTGATTTTAATCACAGATGAAGTGACAACTGGTTAATAGAATGATAAAAGAGGAAACATAGAAACATAGAATGTGACAGCAGATAAGAACCATTCGGCCCATCTAGTCTGCCCAATTTTTTTTAAATACTTTCATTAGTCCTTGGCCTTATCTTATAGTTAGGATAGCCTTATGCATATCCCACACATGCTTAAACTCTTTTACTATGACTGCACCTCTACCACTTCAGCTGGAAGCCTACCACCTCTACCAATTCAGCTGGAAGCCTATTCCATGCATCCACTACCCTCTCAGTAAAGTAATACTTCTGGATATTATTTTTAAACCTTTGCCTCTCTAATTTAAGACTATGTCCTCTTGTTGTGGTCGTTTTTCTTCTTTTAAATATAGTCTCCTCCTTTACTGTGTTGATTCCCTTTATATATTTAAATGTTTCTATCATATCCCCCCGTCTCGTCTTTCCTCCAAGCTATACATGTTAAGATCCTTTAACCTTTCCTGGTAAGTTTTATCCTGCAATTCATGAACCAGTTTAGTAGCCCTTCTCTGAACTCTCTCTAAAGTATTAATATCCTTCTGGAGATACGGTCTCCAGTACTGTGTAAAATACTCCAAGTGAGGTCTCACCTGTGTTCTGTACAATGGCAGAAGCACTTCCCTCTTTCTACTGCTAATGCCTCTCCCTATACAACCAAGCATTCTGTAAGCATTTCCTGCTGCTCTATTACATTGTCTGCCTACGTTTAAGTCATCAGAAATAATCACCCCTAAATCCCTTTCCTCAGATGTTGAGTGTGACAACCTACCCTTTGCCACTGGCTTCTGGAGGGGCCTGATTGCCAGCCTCCTGCCCCAAGACTATGGACCCTGCATAAAGAAATGCTAAAAAGGGACTTCCATGGGAAAATGTGCTTCTTCCCCTCACCCTTTTTCCTGTCCTATTGCTCTCCAGCAGGGTGTTGTCCCAGGTACACTGCCAGACCAGTTGAAACTGGCTGCTTTGTCCCTCCTCAATCTCTCATCAGCCCTTACTATTGTTTAACCCCATGGCGATCCAACTGTATCCATGAGATCTGAGTGCTTTTCGGACATATTGAGCGCTCAGATACAAGCTATCTGGGGATAGACATATAGGTTAAACATTGTATTATAAGAGTTATGTATTTGTATGTGATTTTTGTAACAGTTTTTGACTTAGAGATATTTAATGTACCTGGAGATAATTAAGTTACCATAGCCACTTGCAACAAGTCAATTATCTCCACGATAGAGGAGAAGATAGACCGGCCGCACAGCCTAAATCTGTTGAACTCTTTTGGGCATGAAAACCATGCTTGCGGTCGGTCAAATGTGACTTCCACAAAACTTTTGAACCCCTGCTCTGATCTGGGTGATTTTTGGATATGTTGTTCACCCAGATCAGGGCTATCCAGGGATGTTTGATGGGATATATGGTGTTTTCTGTGGTTTCTGTGTTTTGTGAAAAATGTGTGTTTTCTGCCTGTGGGTAATTGAGTTAGCCCATTGTATTTGATAATTGTATACAGGCAGAGGGGAGGGTTTGTTTACATTATCTGGGAGTGCCTAACTGTACAAGAGTGTTTTGATTGGCTTTGTAACTTTGTGTCCTGTGTTCCACAAGGTCCACATGGGTGGTAAACTTGTGGAAAAACTTGTATAAAATAGACAATAAACCCTCAGTTCATTTTGTTCTGGCTGAACCCTCAATCTAGAGTCTTGTCTCTTATTGGGGGAATTGCTATATCACTACAAGTGATTGCTATGCTCTGCATACTCCCTTGGATAATCACTACTAAGCTCTTTTAAGAGCTTGTTCCTGCTTCACCCACTGGAACCTTGTCATAGGTCCAGGGTGGGTAGGAGACGGCGAGACCCCAACCAAGCTGCGGCGGTTCGTGGGGACTGCGGTGGTTATAGTGTCTGTTGGAGTGCTTGTAGCCCTCGGGAAGCCATCAACGGAGGTACCCAGTCGGGGTGCCAAGTGGTCCGTTACACTTTCTTTCCCCCAGTTTATTACCTGGCATTTATCGTGAAATTATACTGCACGGTACCCACATAGAAGGGAAGAGCTCGACTCGTACATGCACAAGGTAGTTGACTTAGGTATTAAGTTCAGAGGGTCCTCATTCTATGACTATCAAAAGTCAGCGTCGGCCAGGGCAGCTACTCATCTGGCTCAGTTCAACGTAAGAATCTGGTGCCAGATGGACACAGTACTGTTTTGCCGTCATGTTGCTGGTTGAAGCCCCCGTCCCGTGCCGCCCGTAGTTCCACTTCTCACTCCACCGACTTGTGCCCTTGCGAGGCAGACCCTGCCACTTCCACTTGTCACCACTCCTTCACCCACAAACAAGCCCATGTCAATGATTTTGTGAGGTGCGGAATTTTTTGAGTAGCGTATGTACTGCCTTGCCAATCGGGAGATGACCTGATGTATGGGTGGCCGCCATGATGGGTATATCTCAAACCATGTAGATGTTCTCTTAAGGCCGGAAACGCATCCATCTCAGTGGGCCAGTTGTCCCTAACCAATGGTTGCCGAAAATAGCTGCAAACCCTGTGTGTGCTGCTGCATCTGTGTAAATTGTGGGTGAGAGCTTCTGATAGTGGAGGAATGAACAAGCAGAAGTCGGGCGCCCCATGGAGCAAATGAAGTAGCTTAGAGATGAAAGAACTACCCCACGGAATGATACATGTGGCGAAGCCAAGAGGCCCCACAATGACTGGAGACCCTTCCTTGTGCATGTACCACTCTACTATTTGTATGTGCTTATACACTTAATTATTTAAATACTACACCAGATAGAGTTTTTTTTCCTGTCTTTTCATGTCTATTGGACAAGCCACAGAGGAGGATGCCAAAGAAGGAAGGTGTCTCCTTAGGACACCAAGCGAATGTGATTAGAGCCAGTCCCCTTTTGGCTCCACACTTGTGGGTTGATAATCATATATTTTTTTATCAACCTGACCCCAGACCTTACATACTTCACCATTGGGTTATTTTTTTCTCTCCTCCCCTTTTTATCTATGTCTTGTGCATATATACTGAGTCCCATCACGCAATACCCCTACTATTAGGGGTAAGTACATATCTCTTTTGCGCTCCACTGTTTGGTGATTTGTTTAGGTGGTTGGTATCCTTCACTAACCTTCCTTTTTAAATCCTCCTACCTTTACCACATTAGAACGTTGTGGTGTCTAAGTCTATGCCCAAGAAAACGAGCTTGGGAGAGGGACCAAGCGTTTGCTTGGTGACAGAGTGAAAAAGGGAGGTGTGGTGCTGTGAATATTACTTGGTGATTGTGAGCCTGGTTCAATCAACAAATTATTAATTTAATTATTATGAGGCTGATTCGCAAACTGTCTTGGCTGGCAGCAACCTCTCATTTCCATCTAGTCTGCATGCACATTCCTGGTGTCCATAACACAGTTGCTTTCACGCTGTCAATTTTAGGTCTTCTTCCAGGCACTCCCTACCACCCATCACCTATCTTCTAGGATACCACCTGCCCGTGAGCTAATCCCAGATTACACCACGCACAGGCACTCACGCACCACACACTTTTCACCCTACACCACTATCACTTATGTTAGGGCACTGTACATTTTTGAACAAATTACCTGCAGAGTTTTACTTACAAGGAGAGTTTTCATTAAAACATGGTTGCTTTTGCCTCCTTCTGTCACCTACACCGTAAATTTATCACACAATACCATAAACATTACCTTAACGGGTACAACACCATGTTCTCACAACCTTTCCTAATCACGCATCTCTCTTAACTTCCAACCCTATCAAGGAAATCCTCAAGGGTATTTATAAGGTCACAGTTCCCCCTGGCACTACCAGATTATCAATAGATGGACCTACTTTTAGGCTACTTAGCATCTTACTGGACACATCCTCATTTGCCTGTAACACAAATCTGGTCATTAAAGCCACCATCTTTATGGCTTTCTACAGTGTCCTCAGACCTATGGAGTTCACAGTCATACGTAAAGTAGATACGGCATTATGCCTGAAACTTTCTCACCTGAAGAAGTAGAAGATCACTACATACTTTCATAACCTTCTACCAAAGCCAATCACACCACTTATCCAATCCGGAAAAATACCACTTGGGCATGGCCGAAGTCCAGTACCTGGGACACCGGGTAGGGTGTGGGAAGCTGCGTCCTGAACTTTCCAAAATTGAGGCAGTGCCAATTGGCCCACACCCTAAAGAACGATTTCACAACGCTCCTGTGTTAACTGCCCCCGTCCCTAACAAACGCTTTGTCGTCCATACAGATGCTTCCATGTACGGACTGGGGGCAGTTCTGAGCCAGATCGGGGATGATGGAGGGGAGCACCCTGTAGCGTACATTAGCCGGAAATTGTTAGCCAGGGAGGTGAGCTACGCGGCAGTGGAGAAAGAATGCTTGGCCCTAGTCTGGGCCCTAAAGAAATTGACTCCCTATTTGTATGGACAGGAATTTACCATCATCACCAACCACAATCCCCTTGTCTGGCTAAACAGAGTGACAGGAGACAATGGCCGGCTATTTAGGTGGAGTTTGGCCTTCCAACCCTATAACTTTTCCATCAAGTACCGGCCTGGCAAGCACAAAGGAAATGCAGATGGACTGTCCAGGCAGACAGAATTTATACCCCCATAGCAGCCCAGACATCCCCAAGCTGACCCGAAAAGGGGAGCCGTGTAACAAAACCCCCGGTTTAAGCGTTATAATGGCTGCCTATAACTGTGAACAAAGACTATTTGTTTGTTTTGCCTTCCCTCGAAAAGACTAATCGTGTATTTGACTATTCTGTTCGTATGCTGAATTTTCTGTCGAATGACTGACCACCCAGAACAGGAGTGTGGCACCAATTAACCCTCTCGACCTGTGGAAACCGCAAACACCGTAACATTCTAATGGTTTAACATAGTGGTCGGTGTTCGTTTATGCAAACACATGGCGGCGGCCATTTTGTTTAGTCGAACGCACTCAGCGGTGTTTTGTCGAACGGCTCCGTTCGTGCATTTTACACTTATAACCAAGGGAAAATAGACCGACCACAGAGACTGAAATTGTGGAACTATTTTGGGCAGAGAAACATGCAAACAGTCGGTCACATCCACATTTTCACTAACTCCCGAACCCTTGGTCCAATTCGTGCCATTTTTGGATATGTTGTTCCCCTGAATGTACTGATCCTGAAAATGTTTAATTTTGTTAAAATCTTATGCATAATTTCAAAGTTATGAAAATGTGGAAAAAGTATATTTTTTAGCTTGGAGATAATTGAGCTGATATACCAAAACTCAATTATCTCCTAAGCAGAGGGGAGGAATGTATTGTAACTACTGGGTGTGTTTTTACTGTAACATTGTAACTAGTTGGCTGCTGTATTTTCATTGTTGGTGCCCCACCAGGTCTAGTGCGTGGTGACATTACTGTAAAATCCTGCATAAAAGCAGCTGCTGTGTGGTCATTAAATCAGCTCTACTTCACCCTGCAAAACGTAGACTCGTCTCGTTATTGAAAGGGAACCTGCTCAGCATAATCACTAGCTCTTGTAAGAGCTCTGCCTCTCTACTGCTACAAGGATTCAGTGGATGGGA